GCGAAACAAAGAGAAGACAAGGATGACTATTCGAAATGAGCAGAAGTTCTGGTCCACACATGAATGAGTAATTTACTCTCGCCTCCAATTGTTAGCAAGAGCGATTAGCAACTACCGATAAATAAGTTAGACAAAGGTAAGGAAGAGCGAGACAAAGAGAAGAGAAGGATGACTATTCGAAATGAGCAGAAGTTCTGGTCCACACATGAATGAGTAATTTACTCTCGCCTCCAACTGTTAACAAGAGCGATTAGCAGCTACCGATAAATAAGTTAGACTAAGTAAGGAAGAGCGAAACAAAGAGAAGACAAGGATGACTATTCGAAATGAGCAGAAGTTCTGGTCCATCCATGAATGAGCAAAAGATATTTACCCACGCCCTTAACAAGTACCAAGCTGTTTAAAGTATTAGTAACAAATTAGAACGAAGTAAGTTTGAGTAAAATAAATGGAAGATTAAAGCGAGCATTCGAAATAAGCAGAAGTTCTGGTCCATCCATGGATGAGTAAGAAATATTTACCCACGCCCCTAACTAGTACCAAAGCTATTTAAACTATTAATAACAAATAAGCCAGAAGTAAGGTTGAGGGAAATAAATGGAAGATTTGGGTGAGCATTCGGAACGAGCAGAAGTTCTGGTCCCTACATGAATGCGTAAGAGTAAATTGCCCTCGCTTCCAATTGTTAGCAAAGTATTAATTAACACCCTATATTGATAACAAATTAGACATCAATAAGAGCTAGCGAAACAAAGGGGAGATAAGGACGAGAATTCGAAATGAGCAGAAGTTCTGGTCTATTCATGAATGGTTTAGAAATATTTACTCTCGCCCAACTGCGAGCAATTTTATTCAAAACCATTGATAACGAACTATGCAGAGAAAAGGGCGAACAAAACAAAGAGATGATATGGGTGAGCGCTCGAAATGAGCAGAAGTTCTGGTCCATCCATGAATAAGTAAGAGACATTTTCGCAGCCAATTTTTGACAAAGCGATTAATAACTTGCAACTGAGGCAAGATTATTGTGGAATGGTGAATGCCTCCTCGAGTAGCGCTTATGCATGAGCCTAAAAAGGGAAAAAAGCGCGTACTGAAAAACTTGTGTGATCAAAATAATAATAATAATAATCACAACGGAAGATTGTAGTTGATTGATTCTCAGGTCAAATGGTCTAGTCTAGACTGATTGAAATGGAAAGTTCTAGTTCCCTCCCAAGACTAGGGCAACTCTTAAAGGAAACTAGGCAGGTTTCTCTCTTATTACAGTATATTCTGTTTAAAATGAAAACTTGTCCCTGAATAGAGTTCTGCAAACGTTTTATAGTAGGGAAAGATTGGTAAGTAATAAGCAAATAATTAATTCAATGGAGCAATTAGGAACTGTGGACGACGGAAAAATACTATAGAGGGGAAATTTTATGCACGGAGCATAAGTTTTGGTCCATCCATGAATGAACCTCTAACACCTTATCTCACTCTTAAGTAAATGAGACCAAAATAGTAACAAAACACACACACCGATTAGTTTCAATATATCCCGTAGGAGCAAGGATGAATGTCTCTTCAGTAGTGTTACATACGGCTAGTTTGAGTGAGTTGTATAAAATTGCTGTAGAGAGTTTGTTATCGAGCACACACGAAACATAGACGAGTGTTGCATCTATCCAATGTTACTTTGATGTAATCACGGATTCAAGCTTCAATGAATTTCTAAAATAGCTTTTCGGCAATTAGCAACTTTAATCGATCACCGTGGGTTTGTGGCTATTTGAGGTCAATGCAATTCTCTTCAGCTGGCATAAAAGCTGGAGCACACATCATAGTTTACCACAGATCAGACAGTGTTCTTTGAAGTAAACATTGGGGGATTGAACTATCGACCAAACGTAAGTGAAAGCTTTCCAATTTTGTTAAATTCCTATGCCTGTTTCTAGGCTGATAAGGGCTCGCCTTCATGGGAATAAAGGAAATAATCGTTAATTTAAGAGGCCCCGGATTTTCAAACAAATTCTCCCCGTCATTCCCATAGGAAATGCATGGGGAACAGTATGGAGAATATAAATACTGATGTTATGGCGTTAAGCCAAAAGGGGAGAGGATAATTCCACACCACTCTATAGTTACTGCGAGCAAGCCTTTTTAAAGGCACTAATCAGGTCCTTTAAATTTTGAATTATCATTGGGCCTTTTGGGTCAGCTAAATCATTCGGAATCAAAAAAAGTCGAAGACAGTTTATTTCTAACCATGAGTGACACCTCATTAATGACTATCACTTTCATATTTGGGTCACCCCAGGAAAATGAAGTACCTCGCTTTGTTGCTGATGGCCTTGTGTCTGGCGGAGGCATTCATTATCGAGAGCGAAGAAGACCCCGATCAAGAAATAGAGGTACTCTTGTTACGTAATCTGTTGATATCTCTTTGAGAGCTGTTATATTGATGTGAGTTTAACCTACAGAGTAAAAAGACTTACTCTTAGTTAAATTATTTATTTTC